TTCTTCTTTGTGGTCTCTGTGAATGCACACTAATGGGTGATTAACAAGCTTACCTCATAGGTACAATTCAGATTAACGAGCTGTTTGATACCATGGTGCCAATACCGATGCGGACAATGTTGGTACCCCTTAAGTGATGGTTCATAGTAGGAGGCTCATAAACTGTCACACATTTGGACCAATGATGTCGAGCCCACGAGCCTGGCGATACCGGCAGTCCGGAGTGATTTGAAGGCTGAGAGATAACAGTATCAGGAATGGCCAGTGTCTTCAGTATGGTAGAGGTTAGCTTTCCTTTTCCTCACAGGAACTGGATTGGCATGAAGACGCATTGATCCAGACTCACACCCAGACACAGAGCCAGCCAAAGATTTGGGGCTCAAGCAGGCCAAGTAGGGTAGTACGGTGACCTCAGCAGAGGAATCAGCTCAAGATGGAGACCGGGTGAGCAGAGGGGAGGGCAGTTGGCCCGATGGAGGCGGGATGGAGTCACGGTATCGAGATCAATAGATGGTTGACTCTGTACAGAAGGATGTCGTACCAACGGTTGGATGTCCGCAGAAGGCTTTTTTGATTTCTTTGGTTTGGTACAGGTTGGTTTTGACATAGCTTTAGGTGTTGGGGAGGGACTGAGATGTCGATTCGGATTACTTTGATTTAGGTGGTTTGGTCTTAGCCTTTGGAAACTGCAACAGAGAATTGGTGACTGAAGAAGCCTGTGGCAATTGTGAGACTTGAGAGCTGTCCCTATTGGGCGGTGGCTGGAGGGACTGCTCCCACAGGAAAGACTTTAGATGCTGCTGACAGAGTTTAATGGCCTGTTTGGTAAAATTTTTGCAGTAAGGGCAAGAGGTTGGTTGATGTGATTCTCCTAAGCAAAACAGGCAAGAATCGAGTCCGTCAGAAACGGGCAATTTATTCATGCACAAAGTGCACCTTTTGAAGGGCCCTGTCGGGGCTATAAAAAGACGGGAGAGAAGGGAGAATGGGGGGAAGGGCGATAACGAGGAAAAATAAAAGAATCTATTTGAAATACCAATGATCTACTTGAAATACAAAGGACAATTTTGTTTTCTTTCAAAAAGAACCAGTTTGAGCGAATTAGGAGCTCAGAGAGATGAGACATCAGTGGCGGCAAAAAGGAATGGAGGTAATCGCTAGGATGGGCGGATCATGTGTACGGGGGGGCGGTCCAAGTGAATGCATATTTTAGCTCTAGAATATTCTGGAGACCTCTGCACAAGCGCAGATTAAACCCATTAGTGTGCATTCACAGAGACCACAAAGAAGAACCATTGATTCCAATAAGCCTACTTTAGTTGCAACTTGCATGTTAAAGTAAGTTGTACTAGAGGAAGCCACTTTGAATCAGTGGAATCTTTGGAGGAGTTAACTGACCAAATCCCCACTGATTCAGTGGGCCTGCTCTAATGCGATCTACGATGATAAATAACAGGATTTCAGATGGTATATTTTAAGGAAATAGTGTTTCACTTTCGCACTGTGCTTGTTTTCCTCCAAGATACTGAAAGTAAATATTAATACCTTCCTCCTGGAATTTACAAATTTACATGCTACTGAATGGTTTGGAAACAATATTCAGTGAAGCATGATTAGGAATATAATTGTGTAGGTGAAGAAAGTCACAAACGAGGATTAGGAACCTTAAAACGCTAGAAATTACTTCTAAAAGAGAGTACCTTTGACAGTGGCACAAACAGAAAAGTCCACACTGGATACAAGAGAGATCCAGGCCAACACTTTAAAAATAACGGCACAGCCTCAAATAAAAGTGCTCTCTCCAAGCTGCTGCTTAACATCCAAGGAAGAGATGCTTCCTATGAATTATCAATATACAGTATCTTTTTTCTTTAATCTCCTCTACTCATGTAAACCAATCAGTTTTCATCAGTCTCTTCTTGTCCACAGAAGGGAGAAGGCCTTCTGTGGGGCAGTGTGTAGAAGGACATGGAATGACTACTTATCCTGTGAAAGGACAGAACCACCTTCTAGCAACTTACAGCAGTCCTATTTACATATGTCTAACCAAGTGGTGCTTTTGACCGCTCATAAATTAAGTATGATCCTACAACCTCCAAAGCATAAACTTCTATGTGGAAATAATCCATTCATACTAACAATGAACTCTGTTCTACAGCCACTAAAAGATATGGGTTAAACATCCTTAAGGCCTTGATTAAACGTCTTTAAACAGTTCTAAGGCAACCAGCCATCAAATGTTAAAATGGAAGGTTGAGAATAACAACTGAGAAGATCCTTGACATTCAATTTTTTTTGTTTTCTGATTTCCACTTTACTACCATTTACCTTAGGCTTTAGATTCAGCTTCCCCCCAGATAGCCTTAACTAACAGAGAGAGCCAGCACCTCTCTAAATGTCTTAGGGACAGAGAAACAGTATGTTTTGTTCCAAGGAGAGAAAAATGTTGAGAAGATGAGATATGGTTCACAAGGAGCTCAAGAAGCAAGCTTGAATTTCATATATAGCCAAAATAGGCAAAATTCAAGTGCAGGTCTCTAACTAGCCTACCTGTTAAACGAATCTAATATTGTTAAGTTTGCTATCTCTTCTGAAGTTACCCGCAATTTCTGCATATTTTCTTTCAAGAGTTTTCATTAGAAACCATTCAAAGTACATTATATACTTTATGACTCTTGTTTAAAAGCCACCATTATTCTACTGCTTCACAGTGCTGTAACTGAGCACCCGTATTACCATACCTCACTTAGCTCAAAACTCAACATCTGCCACACATCTTATTCAGTCATAAAACAGAAAGCCTAGGTTGTGAGAACCTGCTGTCCTGTACAGGACACCTTATGTTTGGCAGAGTGTAACATGCTAAAGTGACAATTTTACTTCAGAGTAGATAATCTATTGTGAGCATCAGCAAAACTATTTCATTACGCAATTTTACTTCTAAGTTCAATATAGAAAATGCAACTTAATAAGACTTTTGGTTCATCGTGTTTTAAGATTATCTGTCATTAAGCCACTAGTTTAATTAATTTGGTCACACAAATACAAAATTCCATAGCTTAAAACCAAAGTTTATCAACTTCCAAATGGCTTTTCTGGGACATTCAAGTCATATTTTCAAGTGCTTTCCAAAAAACAGTATTTCAGACTTACTCTGGAAAAGGTAAGTTGATTTTTATGTCTTCATGATCTTGATCTTCAAGAAAAACACATTACTTAAGTGTGTCAGATTGTTTTTTTAAAAAATTTAAATGTTAAAAACAATTTATTTATTAATGTTGCTGTCCACAATGGATAGTAATGACAAAACTACAGTGGACCCTCGACTTACAGACGGCTCCACTTACACACTTTTCGAGTTACAGACTTCTCTGGCCACAAAATTTAGGTTCGACATGCAGCCGGAGAATTGACCTACAGACCGGGAAAAAAAACCCCAAAATGGAACAAAAACGGCCAGTTACGGATTAATCGGTTTTCAATGCATTGTGGGTCAATGGAGCCTTGAACTACAGACTTTTCGACTTGCAGCAGCCATTCCAATACAGATTAATTCCGTAAATTGAGGGTCCACTGTAATCTATGCTGAAACCTAGATTAGTAAATGTTACTGCTCAGTTAAGTCCAAGGGACAGGGAGAATGATTTTTATAGAGTAACTATGAAAATCAATTCTGGCCTGGCATGTAGGAGACATCTATAAATGGGTAAATTTCTTGTACTGCTCAGGATGTGAAAGGATTATATTATTAGCAATCATGATCGTCACTACGGGTTTTTATCCCTTGAGTCCATGTTCCAGTTCCCTACGTTACAAAACTAAAGGCACGAATGCTACAATCAGGTCATATACACACAGAGCAAGATGAAGTCAAATGTGTTACCAACTCTCTTGCCAACAGGGCACGGCAAACTCTTGGCATGTACCACTGTCAAAGACCACTGACTAGGAAAAAAAGGTACAACCATCTATCAAAGTGTGGAATTTCATAGCACTTTTCATGGTATGTAACCAACATTCCACTTTGTCTGATATGAGAGCGCATCTATGACTGGGTTACCCCCAACCTAACACTTCAACTTGGATACAACGATGGTTGCAGTTCCTCAGTGGAAACTATTTGTTGTCAGACCCTTCTTCCAAAGGTTGCCTCAGTGGAAAGAAAACGATTAGTTTGTAATGATGGATGACAGTGCAAGGGCTTGACCCTACAGCTGCTCTGTATAATCTGGTCTATCCTGCACTGGTGGGAAATATAGCTGAATCAGCTGTGTCATCCTGCTATTAAAAATGGCTTACATATTGTGACTCTTAGACTACAGCAATAAAGACTGTACGTAATCTATCTATTGTAGAACTAGGTGCTGTTCCAAGGAAGTGGAATGAAATCAGGGAAACAGTACCCAAATGGTGATGCTTTATGTACATGGCCCTGCAAGCAGTCAATCTGAGCCATGCTTGTTCAATGGGGTGCAGAAACAGGAGATAAAGGGACAGGGCACATTCTTGGGATCAGTAAAGAACAGAACTGACTTTCAGGATAAAGGATGGATCTAGATGGTGACCATGTTCTTTAAAAAAACAGAGATATTACTCAACCAACAACAACCCTAATTCACACATTATCCGGCTGTAAGTGCCACCAGTAAGTCCACAGAGTCAAAGAAGCCTAAGGGGAATTGTCTGCAATAGCTCAAAAAGTGGTTTAGTTCCTATCATAAGCAGCATTTTGAGGATGTCAAAATGAGAATTTGTGACCGGTGAGTGGTAAGAAATGCACTATGGAGAAATCTCTAGTCTAGAGGAGCAGAAAATGACTATTTACTACAGCTAATGGCCTCAAAAAACAATGGAGGTTCACATACTCTCCCTTGTTGTACATAGTGATCAGTCTTAAGCATGTGATCCCTGCCTATTCTATAAAATACACAAAGTTAACTAATGCATGAGGATCTCCTCATTCCAGAGAAGGGAAGCATCATATCACTAATTTTCCTTGCACAGTCAGTATACGTTTGATAAATAAGGAAGTAGAGATAGGTGGGAAAGTAAAGAAGCATACACTTTGATGTAAAGATTATAGCAAGTCAATTTCACATGGCTTGGCTTTCTTCTGGTTTTGTTTTTAAAAAATCAGACACTATATTGCAAGAGAAAAGACTGTTAATGACCAAGTTTATTCTCCAGGTTGTCTTAAAAAAAGAATAAAAAATTAGCAAGTTTCCCCACCTTGATTGGTTTGTTGAAATCACCACTACAGAATGTTTGTAGAGGAACACTGAATTTTCTCCAGCACGGATTTAAATTGTTCTTAATTACCTATCAGAAAATTAAAAATGAACAAAACCCAGTCACAATCAAAGTATACTTCTAAAGAGACAGTGCCACTAATTCTTTCTCCCCTGCAAAAATCCAAACAGATAGATCTCTATTGTCATAATATTTTTCCATGAATATTCTGTAATATTAGCACATTCAGATTTTTAAATCAATCCACTGACATAAGCTATTGTGTACATACATTCAAAACAGATTACTTCAGTTTTCATATTGCAAAGCAGACTGAAAAATAATATAAGTGATGACCCACACAGCACTATCAATTGGCAAATTATATTCACCTGAGTATTAATAAAAATGCACACATTTCAGTTTTTAAAATTTCATTTTCATAGCTATGTGAATTTGAATAAGATTCAGAGTTCCATCACAGCATGAAATTCTGGCTGCATACTGGCTACCAGGGTTAATAGGTATAATAATGCCAGTTTGTGATTTTTTTTCCTCTCAGACATCTCTCCCGGCTTGCTTGTAATCAACAAATACCATGTTTCGCTGAAAATAAGACAGGGTTTTATATTAATTTTTCCTCCAAAAAACACATTAGGGCTTATTTTCAGGGGATGTTTTATTTTTTTCATGTACAACAATCTACATTTAATTCAAATACAATCCTATCATCTTCTTCTGGTTGCTGCACAATGGTGAAGGGCAGAGTTTCACTTAACTGGGGCTTATTTTGGGGGTAGGGCTTATATTACGAGCATCTTGAAAAATCATACTAGGGCTTATTTTCACGTTAGCTCTTATTTTCGGAGAAACAAGGTAGAAACCAACAGCCTGTCGGATTCTGAGAATGAGAAGTAGAAGGAAGCTTAGGGAAGATGACTGCAGATTGTTATGCCTCTAGGAAACCTGTTCCTGATGGCTGGGGGTGAAACAGAGTGGAATATGGGATATTAAGAACACCCCAGAATCTAGTGAAAGACCTTTGTGAGACTAGAGTCATATTTGTGCAAAGTGTCTCTTCCTCACTTGGCCAAAAAAACAAAAAACAAAACACACAACAGCTCAGTTTTTCATAGTTCAGTTCAAATATGGGCATGCAACCTTGTGTTAATTGGCACTTCCTGACCATCCAGAATCCAAGTGAGCATGCATCTTTTGAGTCCTGATAAAGACAGAAGGCTACAGGGACCTTGGAAGGCTTATTTTAAAGATGGTTGACAGGGATCCAATATAGCAAAAGGAAACGCAAAGGCACCTTCACGTGATGGATAGACTCTTGAGTCAAACCAGGCATGGACAGATAGTTTTTCCTTCTTCCAGGAGCCAAACACAACCTAGACAACCAAAGGGCTTTACAGTCTAGTCTCCTTAGGCTGAAATCTGCAGAGAGGAATGGAAGACCATAACCACCCACTCCATCCAGGGGACAGAAACTTTCAAGTCCCGCATGGCATAAACAACCTCTGTGCCTAGGTCAGGATGTTAATTACCTTGATTGGGTTTATAAAAACACAGGATACAAGATGTAATTTCTGTCTACACTCCCAGTAATCTGAAGATGTGACATATATGAAATAATGTTAACATGAGGTTTATATAGCAAATTTTCAATCCAAAACATCCACCAATAAGATAAAATAACAATATACCGTATTTGCCGGTGTATAAGGTGACTGGGTGTATAAGACGGCCCCCCAACATGCCCCCTCAGAATGTAGAGTTTGTTATATACTTGCTGTATAAAACTACCCCCTCTTCCGCATGCGTGATTCTGCTTTGGCTGCATCATGGGGAAAGTTCCTTTTGCCCCTTTTGGTTCCTTTTCGGAGGCGGCAGCCATTTTGGAGAGGCAGCAGCCATGTGGTCGCATCTCAAAATGGCTGCCGCCTCTCTGCTGTTCCGACAGTCAGCTGTTCGGCGCTAGAGTCAGGCTGTTTCCAGGCTAGGAGCGGGGCTCTACTCGGTCTTACTACCAGGTAAGTGACTTCGCTGGGAGAGAGGGAGGGGTTGCTAGAGATGCACCCAGCGTACAAGACGACCCTCCCCCACTTGGAGGCATTTTTCAGGGCCAAAAAGTCATCTTGTACGCCGGCAAATACGGTACTGAAGTTGAATAGCTGAAAATCCTACCTCTGATCGGAACACAAGTTGCCATTTTCCACTGTCACTTTGCTTGTAAAACTCCAAAAATGGATCAGATTTGCCCAGAAAATCCTATATGGAAAAAGACAGCGTTTTTATACATATGATCCACCAGGGTATTTCTAAAACAAAAACCAACACACCATTATGTTATTTGTACCACTGCTAAAAAAATGTAAAAGCATGCTTTAAGAATTTAACAAGTAGCAGTTCATTTCTGCCCTGTAACAGTCATTATGAAACACAAATGCAGACTGATTAATTTTTTTTCTTATTTCCTTCTTGTTCCAACACATAATATTCCTTGAAATCTATTCATACCCTCAGAGCTACATTTTTTTCATGACTGTTTAGGACTTAAAAATAGAAGCAATAGCCCCTATAGACAGTCTGACACTTGTTTGTGATATTTCCCCCCAAATCCTGTATGAAAAAGCATACTGTGTTGTTTATACAAATGTTCAAGGTAGTATTTCTAAACACCATGCCATATCATTTGTGTAAACAACACAGTTTAGCAGGTAGGGAAAAAAAGCTGCAGCCAGATTGTTACCTGGGGCTGGTTACAGGGATCACATAACTCTAGTAGAAGCCAATCCATTTCTAATTCAAAGTGTTGGTTTTAACCAATGAAGTCCCAAATGGCTTGGGTCCAAGCTGTCTAAAAAACCCGCCTTCCTTTATAAGCTTGCCCAAACTTTAAGATCCTCAAAGGAAGCCCTTCTCTGTCCTGCTACCCTCACAGGTGTGTTTTGTGAGGACATGCAGGAGAGCCTTCTCTGTCCTTCCTCCCAGAGACTTTAGAACCCCCTTGCATGGGAGGCCAGTTTTTACTATCCTTATGCAGCAGACAAAGATCTTTGTCTTCAGGCAGGTTTTCTATTAATGAGTGGCAGACTAAAAGTCTTTCTTTTTAAAGGACTATTGTATTTCTAGTGTTTTTAATGTTTTTACTAATGGTTTTAGTTTCAAGTTTTTATTTGTTTAATTCTTTTTAATATTATAATGTATTGTTGCTTTAGCTTTTAACATAGTCTCTTTTAGTATTGTAAGCCACCTTGGATCCTTTTAGGAGAAAGGCAGTATAGAAATATTCTAAGTAAATACATAAGTATCAGTTGGTCTTTATAAAACTATTCTTCAGCTCCCTACATGAATAAGAACAAACAACTATATTCCTCTCAGTTCAAGTACTGAATTCACCGATAAAAACATTAGCCAAGATCACGTTCGTTTTGGTCACATGTTATGCCATTGTAAATATGCCAGGCGTTCTGCGCCAGCAATAAGAATGATGCAGATCAATTGCCCAATTAGTCACACAGTTTTGACTGACTGTACAATGCACTAGCAGAAGTGTTTTATGAATAACACTTTTGTTCTGGTGTTGTTGTAACTAGTGTACTTGTTTAATAGGACTTCAGCCATAATTTACCTTTTTGTCCAAATTCCGAGCTTCAACATCCAGAGATACAACTCTGGTGTCTTTAATCTCTTCTGCAGAAATCTGTAGATTTACAAAAAAATGTTCTTTTAGAAAACACTGTAATGTGAACAATATTTAGTCCATGGAATGATATAACTGCTAGAAAGTTTGTACATAGGAGTTTTAAATGAGTTTTAAAAAGAAACTATTGTACCCAATAATTAACTTAATGGAAAATGTAGTCCATTAAACTATACTTGCAGTAGCAGCATTATTACTTTTTTTTACTCTTAAGTTGTATAGATGGGTGGGTTTTTTTTACCGTAATAGTGCCTTTTCCTGCAGGTTTTCCTTTCTTCAACATTAAAGGCTGAGTGACTGTTTTGCTTGACACAATCTAAAGACATAATTACACAGATTATAAAATACATGGAACAGTAAATGATACACTCTATAAAGTGTTATAGTGCAAGTCTTTGTAGTATAGGATTTATATGCACCTTCCACATAAATATGAAGCAGTGGCTTAACTGCATGTTGTTTAAGAACATACTGTCAACACTATACTTTTAGCATTATCAGAAACAGAGCATATTAAATTTAATCATGGTTTCCAAATCATCTACCAAAATACATACCAATGTAATTATACGTGTAGTGAAAAGTAGATGTTACCTATTTACTTCACATATTGACTGCCTGTGCAGGAGAGGAATGTTGCTACTAGGTGTTATGCCACACACTAGATTACTAAAGGTCTACTTCAACTCTAAAGGTGGCAGCCAGAAAACAACTCGATAGTAAAGTTGTTTCTTTAGCAACAGGCACAGCGAAGTAAATGAGTAACTGGCTTTGCAGCTACTAAGATCGCTATCACCTAGTAGCTATCACCCATCAAAGAAGCATGTCCAGAGGGTCCTACAATAACCCCCCCCCCAAAGAGACAAGGAAATCAGCTTCTCCTTCCAGTTATGTAACTAAAGAAATGTCTATAGTTGCCCTTTAATTTAGTACTATTTTACACAGCATGCAGCAGTATTTGTTCTCCAGTACCTGTCCCAAGGTGCACTCTGCCCCTCCAAGATAGTCGTCATCGTTTAAGTCATACGACTTGTTATCGATGTCATACATGCCAAATTTCAGTTTCTGAACTTTCTCAAAATAATAATCAATCAGTAACCTCTTGGAAAACTGTGGATTTTGGCAATTCTTTATTTTTTCAGTTCGATCCAACTGCAGTAACAACAAAATTTAGAAAAATCCTGTTTAATACCTATATCCTTTCGCAAAATAGGAACATGATCTTACGTAATTCTGAGTGTTTAACTGGAAAGCATCAATGACAACATTTCCACGTATACCTGGGAAAGACTGCCATCTGTGAATCTAGACAGCTGTTAGTCAAGACACAGTCGAAACAAAACTGATTCAGAACAAGATACCTTTTTAAGTTACACACTCATTCATGCAAATGGCAGAGACTCATTAAGTGACAGTCAATCTGGCTTTCAGGAAAACCTGTCTGTCAAGCTAGTTTTTTCTTATTCAGAACAATAAATCACGTGTAAATTAGCATTAATGCAGAACTTACACTTCTTTCAAAAGGTTTGTCATTAATGCTTTCCAGTTTTATTTCAGAAGAAAATAGCTTTATAAAGTCAAATTAACAAAAGTTGTACTGTACCATTATTTTACAAATCCATAGCCCACAGTAGAGTACTATTTGAATGAGGACCAACCAAAAAGTCACAAACTTGGAAGCAGGCTTTTGACTTATTTCAGTATTTTTTCTGGAGATTTTGACCAAAATGAAGAATGCAAAATGAAAAGGTAGCTTGTTATATATGGGACACATCACTTCCACTCTTTCCTACACCTTTAACCCTACTTCCCTGTTGCCTAATACTATACAGTGAGAGGTTAATTGCTACTATTGTTTTTGGCTTATACATGCATTATGTCCAACTGTAGCTTCAGGAAATCACTGTGAAGGACTGTGATTTTATAATGGAATATTTAACAATATAAATAAATAGAAAGTACAGTATTAGTAGGGCAGGTTTCCAAATACTCTGGACAGAATCCAAAGGCTTCATAAGAGGCTTCCTCATAAATATTTATTCTAAAATATTTTAAATTTAAAAAATGAATACACCCATTCTCTAGTCACTTAAGTATGAAATTGAAAAATCAATGAAAGGTTAAAAAAATTCTAAAAACCAGAAAAGCTTGTGCAGAAGTCTTTTAACAACTGGGATGTACAGGATAAATGTGCATTCTTGCTGACATTTAGATAACCATTGCTTTGGTCTTTTATGGTGGCCAAAACACAGTATACAATGTTTCTATAAAATGCACAAATAAATAAGGTACTGCTTAAGTCTGCAAATCACACTGCCCTGGAATTAAACTGGAAGAACACTGAAGACTAGAAGTGTTTAGAACCAATCTATACCACCATGTTCGCGACCTTCTGGCACTTTTCGACTATTAGAAATAGTTCTTACTTCAGTCCATTGGTCTCCGCCAACATTTTGGAGTAAGACACACAGAGGATCAGATTTGGAGCCAACATCCTTATCTATCAGATTGTCACAGGATATGGACAGTTCCACCTTGGTCACACACTGAGCCATCTGTAAAGAGATTGAACAGAAAAGGATAAATCCTTATTAGGCAAGACTATATTCATGAATATAATATTATGCTTTGCTTTGTGCATATTCAGTCAGCTCTGATCTTGAAAATATTTTGGGCAGACTCCTGCTGAGGAAACATAGAGCCCTAACACTCTACATACAGTATATGCTTGTGCATAGATCACTCTTTCAAAAGCACAAAGGTACTAAATATCCACCGAGCAAACAACAGGTGAGAACAAGTGTGTGAGCAATGAACTATTGCACAAAAAGTAAAAAGTTAGCGGGATACTGTCCTTTGATTTTTCTTAACATTGTTCTTAACTACTTATGCCTTATGTATTTCAAAAGGTGCAACAAGTGCAAATGGCTGTGACTACTTCAGCAGACCCGTATTATAACATCACAGGGAGATATCAACTCATACAAATTCCACCACTGCGCAATCCCCAAAACATTCATCTACTCACATCTCTGCCACAGGAACACTGAACTCCTATTGCCATAGTGTTCAAAATACTAATATTAAACCACAATTTATGGACCAATGTCTGTTCTAATAACATAAAATGCTGAATTGTGATTATGCCAATACATAAAACACAAATGTAAGAAATATTTGACTACGCCAAACCTAGAACTGAGCCCTGCAATGGATACACACTATACAACATTTAAACAGTACAGGAATTTCACAGTATATAGAAAGCACTTAAAATACTGAACAGAAGCCTTGTTTTATTCTATTTCATACCACTTTACATGGTCATTATGTTCAGTTAGATAACGGACACTGTTAAATCAGCATTTTAAAAATCAAAACGAACACAACCTGTAAAAAACACATCTAACCTAATTTTGAAATTATTTTATAACATGTCCATCTAGTCCAGCTATCTATATCTCACAGTGGACCCACCAGATGCCTCTGGGAGCACACGGAACAACAAGAGAGCTGTCTCCTGATACCCTTCCCCTGCATCTGGCATTTGTAGGTACCTTCCTTTTAAGCCTGGAGATTATACATCCCCCTCATGGCTTGTAACCTGTGATGGACTTTTCCTCCCCTTTTCAAGGGATCTAGGACAGATGCCATCACCACTGCCTGTGGCAAGGAGTTCCACTAACATGTGGGTAAAGAAACATTTTCTTTTGTCTGTTCTCCCAACACTCAATTGGAGTGGATGCCCCTTGGTTCTGGTACTATTATGTGAGAGGAAAAGAGTTTGCCTCTATCCACTTTATCCACCCCCGGCATAATTTTATACGTTTTAATCATGTCCCTGCCCAGGTACCTTTTCTCTAGATTAAAGAGACCCAAATGCTGTAGCCTTTCCTCATAAAGGAGGTGCCCCAGCCCAGTCATCATTTTAGTCGCTCTCTTCTGCACCTTTTCCAGTTCCACCTTGTCTTTTTTGAGGTGCAGCAACCAGAACTGTACACAATACTCCACTTGAAGCCTTACTAGAGTTTTGTGCAATGTCATTAGAATGTTGGCTTTTTTACTTTCAATCCCCTCTGTAATGATAACGAGCATGGAATTGGCCTTCTTCACTGCCGCTGCACACTGGGTTGACACTTTCATCGAGCTGTCCACCAAGATCTCTTTCCTGATCCATCACAGACAGCTCAGGACCCATCAGCTGACAAATAAAGGTTTGATTTTTTTGCCCCAATGTGCATTACTTTACATTTTATATATATACTGAAACACATTTGCCATTTTTCCACCCATTCTCCCAGTTTGGAGAGATCCTTCTGGAGCTCTTCACAATCCCTTCTGACCTTCACCACCCAGAAAAGTTTTGTGTCATCTGCAAACTTGGACACCTCACTGCTTATCCCTGTCTCCAGGTAATTTATGAACAGGTTGAAAATTACTGGTCCCAGGACCAAAACCTCTATTATTCTTCCATGGGGAACACCGCTTTTCACCTCTCTCCATTGTGAAAATTAACACCTACTATCTGTTTCCTGGTTCTCAACCAATTCTCAATCCATAAGAGGACCTGCCCTCTTATTCCCTGACTGTGTAGTTTTCTCAACGGCCTTTGGTGAGGGACTGTGTCAAACACCTTCTGAAAATCCAGATAGACAATATCCATTGATTCACCCACATCCACATGAAATAGCAAACAAGCCATTTCAAGAGCAAATATCCTTTATAAGCATATTTTAAACAACAAGATGCTGTAACTACAGATATGTGTGTTGCAATTCCAATTCAACACTAGACAACAGTAAAAACCAGGACAAAGTAGTGGAAATCAAGGCTCACACTAGCAAAATCCAAAATGAAAAGTGGCGAGTTGCTAACAGGTTAGAATAAAGAAGAACAAACCTTCCTCAAAATAGTGATTCATTTCAACAAAAGAATATTTGCTTTAAACCATGAAACACCCTACAGAGTCAGAAATTATGTGGACACATAATCCTAACACAAAATGTCACCTTGAACATCAGCCAGTTTATGTAAGAAGCCCTGCAGTAACATGTCAACTACAGCTTGCTCTTATGCAACAGAGAAAACTGCACTCTGAGACATCGCTGGAAATCCATCCCAACGGCACAGTGGGTAAGGTAGCGACAAAAACAATGTGCAAATATTTCTCAAATACACAAAATAAATGCCTCAAAGATTCCAGCAAAGAAATGTAAATGCTACAGCCAAAATATTGGCTGAATTATCAATGTCAATATAAATCCAGCTTCCAAACTTTCCTACTTGGCCTTCACTGCCCTCTTAGGGTTGCTAGGTCACAATGCAGCAAATAACAGCAGAAGCCAGAGCAGCCAAAAAAATCTCTTTCGAATGCAACTGCTTCCGAGAAGTAGCCTGTTCAAATCTAGAGAATTGAGACCTAGCAATCCAATGCTCCCTTGTCTCCCCAGTGAACAGTGACCAACCACACAGCCCTGCCTGTCCATCGTTTCCTTGCCAGCATGGCATGTCCATTCTAAAGGTTTGGTCCCATCATACGTTCCCTTTGGTTCTTTTCCTCTTCTTCATTAAGGTCTTGTTTGTCAGTCTACTGTGAATTATGTGCAAGATTTTTACTCTCCATCTTTTGAGCCACTTCCTGTCCCTTTGGCTAACTCATAGCACCTCCCCCAAATCTCCTTTTCAAAGAGTTCCCAGGTAACTCTATTTCAGTATGTGTAAGTAAGAATAACAACAATCACAATGCAAGAGTATTGTGGGAACCTTTAGGATGAACAGATCTACTTTATCTTGAACTTTTGTGGATTACAATCCACCTCTTCAAATGCAAAGAATGCAATTTTCAGTTACTGTGGCTTAAGTCCTTGGTTTTCTCTTGCCACAGGCCATTTTTACTTTCTGTTTCTGTACTTTTTGTCAAACCTCTCTACCCCGTCCTGCAATTCCTCTGTTCTGCAGTTTGCAGCCTACTCTTCACCATTTCTTTGAGCCACCTTGCCCCTGGACTTCAAATCCTTTAGCTAACCTACTTCAGAAGACCGAGTCTAAATCCTTGACATGTCCAAGAACAGCCATTCTTCCCTTACAATCTGTGAGATTAAAAACCAAACTGACATTCTCCTCCTTTGGCCAGGATTTTGCTGCAGATAGATTCATTCTATGAGCTGCTGCAATGCTCATGAACTTTCAATGCTTTAATAATTCACCTTACTGAAAACAGAGGCCTGACTCTCACAAGCACAATGCAATATACAACAGAAGAAAATTCACTTATTTGCAACACACATTATTGGTAGCTACTACCAATGTACAGACCAAAATCCTACAATAAGAGAATGGGAATCTATATATGGCTTCCATAAAACTAAAACAGATCGTGTTATTCAGTGTCACAAACCTCTCTTATTCTTTTATGGAGAAATGTGTATCTGTACTTCTCAACATCTGTTGAACCAAGTAGTGTATTCAAGCGCCAGGCACAAAGTTGCTTTGAAAGAGCATCATTGTATACTTTTATGGCGAGAAAAGCCTCACCAACCCAGGATCAGGAAAAGAATTGGGGACTGTGATGGTTACATCAGTCAGTAAATGGGGAACTCTGACACATCTGGAGGAGATAAGGGTTAGATGTTTTCCGGTCAGCCATTAGGAAATAAATGTTAATAAAGACAAGTGAAAATCAGAGGTCAGGTAGAATGCTTGGACTGAGAGAAACACATAATAGCACTGAAGGAGGCAGAAAACAAGACAACAAGTGCAGTGACGGGATACACTCTGAGGTGGATCTCAAAAAGGCCCTTTCTGCATCAAGTGGCACTGATTTATCCAGCACAACTGCCACTGTCACCTCTTCTGCCTTGATCAGTCCTAGGTGGCTCGGAACTACTTTTTAATTTTCTCACAGTACTCTGGAGCTACATGAGAGTGTTGTAGAATGCCAGGAGTCTTACAGAAATTCAGGGTTTCTGTACGAGGAATGCATAGTGGGTATTTTATCTCCTCTCCACGCCTGTATCTACCTTGGCAAGGAAAAACTGAGAGAAGGGCCAATGAAGCTGTAACTGGATAGGTATTTATCCCATAGTTTCTTTCCTATTTCTTTCTATTCCTTTCAATATTTATTCTGTTGACTATACAATGTTAGCACTAACCACGAGAGGATCACATTTTGTGGCATGAGTGGCAGTACATTTTGTTTGGCTGGCACAACTTTTGTTCTTTTGTAGGATTTCCACTGCTATTGTTTTGTCTTCCTTTTGGCTGTTGTTGGGCATATCGAGATGATATCTCTAATGATGCACAGAGTAAGAGTGAACCCTACGCCTTCAGTCTATCTTCCCCATTGCACTGGTAACGATTACAACCGCAACATAAATTGTAAATTGTATTTCTAAGCTGATACAACACTAAACTGATATAGCGCTAATTCAAATGCTTATTGTGTTTTGTCAGTTCAGCACTAGTTTACTTGCTAAATATGTATTTTTAAAAGGGATCTGAATCTCAGTGAAAGGTCACAGGAACCCTACTTCTTTCACCAGGCTTTTGCTTGTAT